TCTTTTAACGCAATTTTTTTAGGTAACTCAGCATACACGTGCAAAAGGAATTTATTGAGGGACAGTCCTAAATGTTTTTTTTGTTCTAACATTTTATGTTTATTTAATATCAGTGGTTAATCATGGTAAAGTTTATTGTTTTGTTTCTTTGTAAAATTAATTTCAAGATAGGGTTTTATAGAAAAAAATAATTTCATCTGGAGTTCACATGAGAGACTATGGTCTTGGGACAAGGATTTTTTGTATGGGAGCTCTTTTTGATATACTGAGTTACCCTAAAAATCAAAACAAATTGTTAATTTTCAGCACCTTTAGCATTTTTCTGATGATGCCTGATTATTTGTTATGTGTTTAGAATACCATTTAACTATAAAAAACTTTTGAATAAGTCATTAAGTAAAAATGACTGTTAGGGACACCTAAGTGTGGGTAAAAAAGTTGATCCGCCCTTATATGTATAAGCATTATTTAAATGTACGCCTTAAAAGATTGGTGAAAAAAAAGTAAGCAAAAAAGGTGGATGTTAACTATACACCGAAATAAAACATGGTAAGTTTATAGAGCATCGGCGATCATGTAGACGCGCGCATGATTATCGCCGAACTTTCTTTGATGATTGTCTGAAAAACCGTCGTGACGGCGATTACGCTCGATCATAACCGATCATGGGCGATTATAAGCGATCATGCCTTCCACACTGATGGTGATCGCTAATATTCGTCCATCATGGCCGATCGTGTATAGGGCCCATAAACTTACCTTGTTCTATTTCGGTGTATAGTTAACATACACCGAAATAGAACTAGTAAAAATAGAACAACTTCTTTTTTCTTCACCACTCTGTTATGGTCTACATTTCAATAATAGTTATATTATAAACGTTCAACGCGAACTTAATAATAATAAATAATTTAATTCGTCAAACATTAAAGATACATTATATGATCAGTGATCGAGGTCACCTAGTAAGCAAAATAATGCCTGTAACAGGTGACTTCGCTCTTCCATAGCTAAAAATTACAGTATTATTAAGGAAATAAAGTACCTAACTAATAGGGAATAATAAAGACAGTAAAAACATGATTTTAGTATCCTAACTTTTAATTTGATTTTAATATCTTACATAGTCTCCTAGCATTAATACATCAATAAATAAATTAATACATCAATCACTACAACGTCAATGTGTATAAGAAAAGGGTGATCAAAAAGAAATGGAAAAAAAGAAATTTTATTTCTTGGCGGCTCCGTGGCGTAGTGGTTTAGCAATGAGTTGCTGCGCTGGGGGCCGCGGGTTCGAATCCCGCACGGAACAAGTATTTGTATAGCCTGCACATAATTGCTCCGGGTCTGGATGTTTGTCCTTATGCAATTTATGTTTCTAAACTGCCTCCACGATACAGGAGAAAATCCTAGTGTGGGGGTAAGGTTTTTTTTAAAAAGACTTGTGTGTTCACAAACAATATTCGGCTCGGTAGGGCTCTATAAAGCGAAAAGTTTTTTCATTGGTCATTGTTACTGCCGTTATGTAGACACTAGTTAAGATGCGTGCATATAAAATTTAAATCAGGTGCGTGCAATCACTCTGGGAGCTCGCAGCAAACTGAACGTGCGCCCAACGTGTGGACGCGGCGGCCAATACTCTGCCACAACCCTTTGATCTTTTGTAAAAAACCGACACCAGACGGATTTCGCGCCAACTTGTGGGCCATCGTTCCAATACGTAGCAACGTAGCTTAAACACCAACTGTGTTGGCCAACGTGAAGAGCCGCGATTAGATTAACTTTAAAAGTTGACGCATTTAATAAGGATTCTAAAATGGTATAGCACTTGCTACATTATTTCTTAGTTTACAGGAAAAAAATTTTTCTTCAACAATCCCAGTTTTGATAAAATTCTTTTTAACTACTAAAATGATTTTAGTGTAACCAAAGCTTGCTAAGATTCTAGTTTGAGTGAGAGGAAGAATCAATCCATGAAGTGTGAGTGAGACAGATAGTGACGCATTCGAGTGATACTTTTTCTTAAATTTAGGAAAAATTTTCCTTAAGTTTAAAATTTAATACTTAAATATTAATATAATATAAACAACAATTATTTGGATGCTGAGATTTTTTTACAAAAGGTGTTCAAATTGCTTTCCTTCAGCTGCAATACAAGATCGACATCTTCTTAAAAAAAGACCGGGTTATCAGACGCAAATCTTCCGTTGTTGACAAATTCAGCTGCTTCCGTAATTCTTTGCCGAAGCTCAGCTAAATTTTCAATTGGCTTAACTTTCTCTTTCACTGCTCCTCAGTAAAAAAAATCTAACGGATTTAGATCCGGGGAACTGGCTGGCCACGAAATCGTACCAGACCGCCCTATCCATCTGCTCGGATATTATTTATTAAGATATTGTGTCACGGAGCGGGCATAGTGAGCTGGGCAGCCATCTTGCTGATACCACATCTCTCTGTAAATACTTAGTGGCACGTCTTCAAATAAATTAGGTAAATGGTTTTGTAAAAAATCTAAATAAATTTCAGCATTCAAGACCTCTGGCAACTCAAAAGGTCCTATGACTCTTCTATTTAAAATTCCAGTCCACATGTTTATTTTAAAATGAAATTGAGATCTGTCTTGTCTCATTAAATTCGGATTCTCTACGTGCCACTTGTGTAAATTATGTAGGTTCATGTAACCGTCTTTTTTAAATGTTGATTCGATCAGTCCACAATTTTTTTTAAGAATCGTGGGTCTTCGCGGTGTATTTGTAGCATCGTTTAGCAAAACGCAACCCGACATTGATAATCTTGAGGTAGCAGGGTTTGTACTCTCTGTACATGGTACGAGTGTAACTAATTTTTTTGTAAAATTTGGTGAGCTGTACTTTTGGGCACTCCTGTGCTTTCCTGAATTGCTTGTACCGAAGTACTTGGGTTTTCTTCAACTGCTTGTAGTACTATGTCCTCGTAAGTTAACGAACTTCTTCCTTGACCATGTACTTGGTTTGGAAGTCTGACTTCAGTAAAGAGTAGACGGTGCACATTTGTAAAAACTCGATGATCTGGATAGCGATCAGCATTTTGGTATCTCTCGCGATACAGTCGATACAGCCGCAGCACTAACATTGCCTCTGCATTCCCCATAAATGTAGTGCATGTTTGCATATTCCGTGTACGTTGTACACAGACATGTTGGCACTACACAATCACACTATAGTCCAGGAGAAAGCCATGGTTGTCGTTAAAAGATCGAAACTGTCCAAATCCAAATCACAAGCTCTACACACACAAGATCTACATTGCGTGTGCCAACACTCAAAAAGTGGCGTCATCATTATCTGTCTCGCTCGGACCTCATAAAATTACTTACTTTGTATTTGACGCACTAGCGTCACTATCTGTCTCACTCACCCATTAGCATCTGAATCGAAAGCGTCACTATCTGTCTCACTCGCCCATTAGCATCTGAATCGAAAGCGTCACTATCTGTCTCACTCACATTTCATGGAATGATACTTCCTCTCGCTAAAACTGGAATCTTAATTACCCTCAAGGCAAGCTTTGGTTACACTAAAATCATTTTTAATAGATAAAAAGATTTTTTTTCAAACTGGGATTCTTGAAGAAACATTTTTCCCCTGTAATCTAAGAAATAATGTAGTAAGTGCTATACCATTTTAGAATCCCTATTAAATGCGTCAACTTTTAAGGTCGCAAATTCTCTACTTGCTAAACTAGTTGCGTAGTACTTTTTTTTCAGTACAGTCAGTTAAAGTTGGGCGAAGTATTAACTTTTCATTCTTGGTTCGGATAAATATGACATTTTCTTTTAAGTTGGAGCAGTTAGCTAAGAATAAAAAATAACAGGTTACACAAGCACTACCCAAGATTAAACAAAAAAAAATCGAAAAAAAGTAAAGATTTGTAGCTAAAGGAGCTAAAAAAAGAAATTACTGTAATTTAAAAAATACATGACTAAGATTTTTTTTTATATTTTTCTGGTAACTATTATGATTTGTCCTATCACCCGATTCCGGCTTGACGTCGACTTTTGGGAGACCTGTATGTATAAATATACACATATAAATGTATTTACTTTACTTTTTTTTCTTTCAATTGACTGGGGTTGACTGGTAGAGAATGCATTTAGGCATTAAGTCTGCCCTTTGTATCCTTTTTTCCAAGGGAATGCAATAAAGATTTTAAAATAAAATAAATAAACCAAACCTATCTGTGGTAAAGAGCAAACCACGGAGGAATTGTTTTGTGTATTAATATAATATTTATGAAACTGATAAACTTTTATTTAAAACCAACTTCTCAATTAAATGACATTGTGTAACAAAAAACTTCACCTCAGTGTCAACTAGCGACATCTGGTGAGTGGAAGATTACTAGCCCTCAATGAAGAATGTTGTAGATGTGTATAGCTATGGTTTAAAGAACTGCTGCGGAACTTAACATCCGTTCAGATTTCAACTCTTTTTTCGTCATTAACCGCAGTGTTGCGTCTCCGAACGTCGCTTGTATCGAACTTAGCTTCTTTTTTCACTTGTAGATTTGGTCGGATATATATTTTGATCAACTAACTTCAAAAAGGAGGAGGTTCTCAATTTTCGGATTTTTTTTTATGTATGTTCACCGATTGCTTGACAAAGCCTGAACCGATTTCGCAAATTCTTTTTTTATTTGAAAACTGGAGCTTCTCATGCGGTCCCATATAAATTTAATCCAGGTCTGGCGAGTAGTTTTTGAGGTATCCTTAATAATTTCTATTGAAGTCGGTTGTACAAAATTTTAATAATTTTACTACTTGTATATGATACGATGAGTCTCTTGGTGTGATTGAGTTTGATTATTGTTAAAAACTTTAATACACATTGGAAACAGCCTAATGTGATATTGTTTGAATTCAGAGTTATGGATTTCTACCTAAGTACGGTAAAGAGTTTCGTGCGTGTGTTTGATGTGTATACGTTTGTTAGTGAAGTGTATGTCGATTTATTTTACAGACCTCACGAGCTTCTCCATCGGAGGGAGGTGTGATAACATCCACACATGGTGACACTGCAATGCTTCCTTCATCACTCGTATGTACATTCTGCTCCATAACATTTCCCGACTCAACGCTTTACTTTTTACATAAGGGATGCCACTGTGACTCTAATCCATGGAAATGTAACATTTGTGGCGAGCAATGTTGTAATGTTTACGAATTCAACTCCCATCTGCTAAGCAAGAGCCATCAATGACTGTTTGCAGGGGGGCCGTTCGACAATAATTGATTTTGTTTTTAACAATGCACTTTTCGCATAATTTTTGTGCATAGTCTGTGAGCACTTCGAAGGATCTTCACCTTTTAAACACTTATATGAATATAATTTACAAACCTTCTTAAGCATTTGATTAATATTTTTTTGAAAATTCGTAAATTTGTTGTTGTTAATGAATCAAAATTCTTGAGCACACAAGGTGGAAGTGCTTCGAAAATGTCTTACGCTAAACGTCCCCCCGAAGCTGTTATTTAAAAAAAGTGCAAATTTGAAAGTTATTTAGTGGTTATAATAGTTAATGATTGGTTATTTGTATGGATAATTTAGTATTTAACTGAAAGGGTACTATAAATTAGTTTGAAATTTAGGTACAATATGGAATTACCTTAGATAGGGCCTGGACATGTTGATTCACGTTCATAAGAATTTACATTCCAAATTGTAACATAATACATTCCATGATACGAGATTGTTTACCCAATACTAGATCCTTTGGTGGGGGAATGAAGTGATACATGAAAATTTTACATAAAAATATTTTTTATTTTATTTATTATTTTATTTCAAAGTACTTAATAGTACATGAACGGTTTTCGAAAATAAACATATGAGAAGTATTTTGGTGCGATAGTCAATTTTACAAATGTTTTTAAAAACTTAAAGAGTGTACAAATTAATATATTTTTACATTTCAATGTTGACAAAATGTTAAAGGCAAAGCCTATATTATTCCCAATATGGTTTAGAATTGTGATTGTACGACAGACATGAATTGTAAATTCTACATTCCATTTTTGTTGTCATAAATGCATGTGATGCAAGTCCACGACTAATACTTAATGTACAAGTTTTAAAAATTATTTTGTTGTTATTTATTTTTTGTTCTTAATTACACTCACTAATTAGACGTAAACATAATGTACTTAAATTGAAAAGCTTATAATATAATGTAAGATAAAACATTATATAAAAGGCACATTGCTCAATCGTTTCAACATGGCTCAACAGTTATGAAGAGTAAGTGTTCTATTCGCACAAATGCTTAATTTTGTTTTACATTTCTTTACATTTGTGATAATCACTTATACATGAGAATCATCGCGTGCTTAAATCTGGTGCCTGTATATATTTTATTTGTTAGTAAGTAACCAATTGGCAATGACTTAAACTTCTATCAAAATAGTTTACGATGCCTAATTTCTTTAATGCAAATGTTGGAAAATAATTATAAAAAAAAATCAGCAGTGCTCAATCTGTTGCTGAACTATGCAAATATTAGTTAATAATATTTTTTTTTTGAAATTAGTGATAAAAATTGATTGTTTTAAGGCGACAAATGCATATTTAAATTATCATAGATTTATAATTTGGATATGATTATTAGCATTCACTAACATTTTACTCTAAAATGCTATTCACACTATACTATCAGTCCGATCCATTTTTATTGGAATTAGATTACCAAACCTGAGATTTACATTCCTGTAGCTAATAAGTACTTAATATCGGTTGTGGTCTTGCCTGTTAAGTTTACGAAATTGACTTAGGTGGAACTGAAATTGAGTTTACCAACGAAGTTATTGTATTTTGTTTTGTTATAATGACTTTGCTATTAGTGTAAGGGCCGGTCTGCGGTAGTCCGTCCTTGAATTAATGGACCTAGTGAGTTACCTGAAACAAGCAACACATATTTATTTATAGAGATTCTTATATTATGCTGTTTCATTGTTGGTTATTATATGTAGATTTGAATATTACGTTTAATTTTGGTCCCTACCGTTGCACCGCAAATTAGCTAAGTGTAGATTTATTGAAGAGCTATTAATAATTAATATTATTAATTGGTAACCCCATTGGGCGCCTTCACTTAATCCGTCCATATCTAACGATAGATATTGCCTTTAATATTTAATAGAGTTAATATATTTATAGATATTAGTGTAAAATTAAGAAGAGATCTTAATTATAAAATGTTTACAGAATTGCAAAGTTTTACGAAGATAGAATAAAATTATCTTTTAAATGGTGTTGCTCCAAGGTAAATTGATCAAGTAAGGGGTATTGTATAATTTATACTAAAATTATATTAGTACATTAAAAGCTCCCCAGCTTGACATTTTGTTTTGCAGTAATCCATATTGTTCATTGTTGCAGTTTGAGGTAAATGTTTTATTTCTTTATGTGGGTAGCACATTCATAGTGTTAATATATAAAAGTATTTAATGTTTTTAAAAGTGACAAAATAATATTATATTGTTAAATATGTAATAAATGATATACAGCAGTATTTTTGTCAACCTTTTTGAATACATCTTTGGCAAGGATTGTATGATTAAAAAAAATTAATTTAACCTAAATTGAGTTGATAGTTGCAGTACGGGAATTTTAGGTTTTCAATATTAATGTTATTATTGTTGGAAATGAATATATAATTTTATTAACATATTTAAATTGATACTCTGTACTTGTTATAAACAGAAATACTTTAGTTTAGCAATCCTCACTCTAATACCAAAACACAGCTTACCAACATTTTAATTTTGTTTTAAGTTGTTGTGTGTAATAAGTAAGATAGATAAATGATTATAAAAGCAATTTATTTGTAAAGGTAGGCAGGGTAGGGAGATTGAAAACATCGTTGATATTTTGCTGTTACATTTATTATGTTATGATTATAAGACAAATAATAACATATTTACTACTTAATTAATAAAAATGGTTGCTGTTTATGAGTAACCAATTCGAAGTAACGAGTGATAGTAAATTATATCATGTTAGCAGATTGTGCCTTAGGTCGGTAATAAAGATTAAATTTTTTATATTTATTCCAGAAGATATATATGATATCTAGATGTGTGAATTTTAAGTGTTTAACATTCAAAGTTAAAATATGTATTTACAAAGAGAATAATATAATGAAATAAAAGCGTTATTTATTTACACATATAGTAAAATGTTGGCAATATATATATATAGCTGTTTTGCGTGTTTTTATGGAAAATTTTATTTGCAGTTGAAACAGATTGTCGTCCCATCGTCGTAAGACGATATAAAATATAATTTTTAAAGAAATGGTACTTATTACCAAGTATGTAGTTCTATTTATTTACTTATAAATAATTTGGTAAAGGGTCTACTGAAATATTAATAAAATATGCGATAAAACATCGAGAATTGTTTTTCTTTTATTACATTTGTATTTATATTTTAGAAATTGTAGAAGACGCTATAAATTACAAAATCTTGTACTAAGTAAATAGCAATTGTTATTGCAGAAGCAAACCGAAAAGGAAAATCTCTAGTTTTTAAAAAAAAAAAAAATATAGTTTTTAGAGTGAAATTATTGGAAGTGCTATTTTAGGAAATCCTAAAATGAGAACAAACAAACTCTTGAAGCACAACAGCATTATTGTCATCGTGTAGTGGCAGTGTAAATATATCTACTGAGACATTATACAGTGGGCATCCTAAAAGGCGACAGAGTGAAACAAACCAGATGGGCAGCAGCATCTTTCTGATAACAGCAGTCATAATAAAAAAAACTGCGGCTGTCAATTCGTTCGCCAAGCGTGGCAACTATGCGGCTCTCTAAGGCCCCCCGCGTACTAGGCAGCCTGGCTGCGGCAGCCAGTCGAACATGTAACGGTGTATGGGAGCCCGCGCACCTAAGCAGCCACGGACTTCCGGCTGCGGCAGCCATAAAAGCACGAAATACGCACAAAATTACAAGTTCTTCCACGTTCATATCCCTCGAAGAAAGGGTCACAACTGGCCGTCCATTGGCTGTTTAGAAGTGGCTGCTCAAACATTTCGGCTACCGCAGCCTGACTGCAGCCAGGCTGCCTAGTGCGCGGGTAGTCTAAATTATACAGGTGAGCGCGTAAACATATATTGAGGCATCCTTTGAAAACAAGTTAAAAATATAATTATATTGAATAGAGTACTTACAGTGCGCGCAAGATAACTGCGCGCGTCTGATGGCGTACTTAATCTTGCCAGCGTAACAAATATTTTTTCCTTTTTTTTAATGTTATTACTTGAATTATATAATTATATCTAATTACATAAATTACCGAATTGATTACCAAAGCTCAGCTAAAAAACTAATGTTCAGCCGCATAATAAAAATATGTTTCTTCATTCTAACTTTCGTAAGTTGTACTTTGTTTATAGTGTGATACTACATTACACAAGTTTCTATGGTAAGTGAAAATGACACCTACAGCTTCAGCTCCCTAATCAGATCCCTTATCTGAAAGGATTTTTTTTTTTTTTTTTTTATAGGATAAGGGTGACAAACGAGCACACAGTCCACCTGATGGTAAGTGGATGCTGCGGCCCATAGACATCTACATCTATCCTCTGTTACAAATCAAAATGTAGATGCGTTGTCACCCGTGAGGACTAAGATGGAATGCCTCATTTCCAGTAAAAAGGGCCTCCGGCCACCTGCACTCACCAAGCGAAACGCAGAGGTAAACCTCTACTTCACGCTGGTTTTCTGTGAGGTCGTGGTACTACCCCGGTTCGAGCCGGCCCATCCGTGCGACAGCAAAAGCTGCCGCGTGGCTCTACCACTGTTAAAGTCAAGGATCCAATCAAACAGTGATTAGTCTGTCACAGAGCGCCTGAGGTCCCTTTCTCAAAAGAAAAGGTCAGAAGACCAGAATTACGGGTCTTCTTGTAGAGGTCCCGGTCCGGTCGTCTTGGTTATGCGATTCTTCTTATAATGGACTGTATATGTTGTTTATAGATGTTGGTGAAGGATCCCTCGGGAATAAAACAGCAATTGTCTTCAAACTGCTCCGTAAGATTACAATTACTTTCCCTATCACTTCCCTATATGTTTTTCTTTCTTGATTATATATATATTTCTGGTAGCTGGTCCCAAACAAATTACATCCTTGTCGTCTGCTGCGGTGTGTGTGAGACACCAAACAGGTTTCGGGCCTCGGGGCATTTCCGCCATAGCCCGGATG